TGGACACTGACTTCATGAACCAGTTCATAAAATGGCAGCCAAGGAAAATAACTTACAACAGTTATTGGATTTCTCTTCTCCTTTATTAGAATGTCGTCAATGAGATTTCAAAGGGTTTTAGAAATTCTTGATAGAAACTGTAAACAAAACCCCAGATGAACCTGGAATAGTTTATTTATATGCTCATTTATGGTTTTCGGCACTATACAAGAACAAACGCTTTGAGACTGAAGAGGCTCAGGGAGGGGTGTCTTTGTAGATTGAAATAAGTTCTTCAACAACACATGTCTTACTCACTCCTCTGGCAAGCCAGTGGAACTCTGTGGGTGGTCCTCACAGGTAGGGCTGGGGGCTACTGGCAGCTCTTGGGGAAACTCATATTTGTGGCCAATCCCCATGCCCCACTGTGTGGTTTAATACAAAGTCTCAGTCATCCTTGCTGGCAGTCTTGTATTTTGTACAGTTTAACTGACATCGACTTCAGCAGGGATGCTTGAGGATTTACAGTCTTCACAAACCAATTAGCTTTTTTTCAAATAATGTAATGTGAATACTTAAGCTCTCAACACATCTTTCTTCAGCAGTTGTTTGTTTTTTGTTTAGAGAAAATATCAATTAAGCTGGCCACAAAGATACATTTATCTTTTTTTGTATATCTTGGAACGAAAATCTGTTTGCAACCAAATCATATCCATTTTGAAACCCTTCCCAGCTAGAAGTGAAGTAGATTATGTTCTGCTCTTAAATATTATAATCTTGACAGTGTTTTTTTCCTGAGTATATGTCATTGTGTGTCTCATTGCAAACTTTGTTGTGTAACCAGTACTTGAAAATGTAGTACAACAATACATACCCATTTTAGTTAAGAAAATTACATTATGTATTTCAAACCTCTGTTCCTGCATGCAGAAATATATACAGTTTTGAAAAATAAATTGTGTATCATATTCCAAACATGAAATACAGCATCACTTTCCTTTGTTGGAGTATGAGAGATTTATTTAGATGTTTATCATTTTTTAAACTGCAGTGACAAAGACTAAACACATATTGAAACCAAGAGGAAACCAATGTAAGGGTACAAAATGAACCTCCAAGAAAACAGAGAACATAAGGAACTATTTAGAATGGAATTTGCTTTATTAAGTTGTCATCATTCTAGGATGAAGAAGGCTCCACGGCCGAAACGTTGTGTTCTCTTTCTTCTTTTTTTCAGCATGGAATAAACCTATTAATCATTCTAGGATACCATTCTAAATAAGAACTACAGGAGAGGCCTTATTTTCATCATGTTTTAACCTTTTATACTTCTTATATTTTTTTACACACACTGCAGAAGACCCAGAAGAGCCTGTGTAGTTCACAGAATTCACCACCTGGAAAATGTGTGTAACTTTGGAGCCTACTAGGTCAGGACAAAACAGAAGAGAGGGCCTGGAAGTATTGCCTTATCTCAGGCCTGAGATCTCAGTGGCCATGTTCCTAACCTTTGTTGTAAATAAAATAATGTACTGCTCTTTTGGCTGCTCCAACACTGGCAGCACATAATCTTAATAAAGTGTGCCTTTAAAGCTGTTCTCCATTCTCTCATGTGTCTCAAGCTTGTTCAGCAGTCCCTCACAATGGTGCCGCATAACCAGCTGGTTCTCTCTCAAGGGGGATTATCAAGAGGTTTAGAAAAGAGCCCCATTCATTTTCCTGTAATCTTATTCTAGCTGGGGCCAGCAGAGAAAAAGCTCACACAAATAGCTCTGTGGAAAGGGGATTGGCCACTGTTTATCAGTAATGAGGGATCAAAACTGGTCTTTAGGTAACAAGGCATTTCCTCAGGCTAAGGAAGTTAGTACCCACTGTTGCTCTTTTATTCATCTAGTACATCGCAGGGCTCAAGTCTTTTCAACTCCTATGTGTCCAAGACAGAATTTACACATTTTCAGTTAATAAATTGATTTGCAGGTTCAGTAATTTAGGTTTGATTCAAGTGGACTTGTTCCAATGTCTTTTTCAAAGTATTGTACCACATCTACTTGCCTCAGCTTGCCTCATGGTAAAGACAGGCTGCTTTCCAAACCATTAGATCCATAGCACAAAGCCAAGTTGGCTTTGTATGTGTAGAGGAACAAGTAATAGGTTTATTCCATGCTGAAAAAAAGAAGAAAGAGAACACAATGTTTCGGCCGTGGAGCCTTCTTCAGGTGTGATGTGTGACCATTTTCCAGGTGGTGAATTCTGTGAACTACACAGGCTCTTCTGGGTCTTCTGCAGTGTGTGTAAAAAATATAAGAAGTATAAAAGGTTAAAACACATCTTTGTATGTGTAGTTCTGCTTTTCTGAGCATTGCTTCTTTATTGTATTAAATTATTTTCCTGTCTTTTGTTGAAATTGGTTTGCGATCTTTAACACCAAAGATCTGAAGGGTTTTCACCTCAACCCATAGATGGACAGCCCTGGATGCTGAAGGCTGTTTGGCTACTGAAAACTGTTTTCTTTGTGGTAGTGAGGTAAGAGGGTAAGACCTGTGATATTTGATCGGAAGAAATCCTTCCGTAGTGGAAGCTGTGTTTAAATAGTTTTTAAATATTTTTAAAATGTTATTAAGGAACCACCTTCGAAGCATGTCAGCCCTTGTCTGAACACTTATTCTGAAAGACATTGGTATATGAAAAGTGCTCTGGTTCTTCCAGCTGAAAGCACTCCAGTCCTTTGGATTCTCAATGGCTGGCTTTTGTCAGATGTCCCTGTGCTGTGTTTTCAGGAAATGTTCCTGAGGAGATCAGGATGCAGTGTAAGTGTTTAACTTGGGTTGGGCAAGAGCCATGCAACCATTTGCTTTGGAGGAGGGGTGTGTGGGGGGTGTAGATTTGCAATGGCCGTCCTTTGTCAGGCCTGTGTTTTTGGCAACTGTCTTGCTCTGGGTCTGGAGCATGCTGTGGATCCTGACAGTGACGTTAATAGAATAGGAACCAAGTACTTCTGGAAACAGGACATATTGTTATTGCAAGCTGTCAGCTAATAGATGAATAAATCATTTTTATTTTGTTGTCAAAAGAAACAAAATAGCCTATACATGCTGTGAAACAAAGAAGAGCTTGGCCAATCCAATTTGTATTGTGTCTCTCAAGAGCTGGATTTCTGAGGATTCATGTTGAATTTCTTAATTGTAAATACAGAATAAACAGTTAACTGTTTGAAGTATAGCAGCACAGCTATACAGCTTAAGTTGTGCACAGAACTATGTTATATGGGTTAGCTCATTTTTTTGGTGCCTCTAGATTTGGACTCCTGTTAGATTTAATGTTACATTTATTGATGGTCCCTATATCTAATTTCATCTGCAAAGTTTTCTCCAACCTCAGTTTGGTACTATTGGACATGCTCACAGGCTGGTACCTTTAGAACAATTGTATTGTGACTCTCTGTCTGGTGTTTGATATATAAAAAGCATATATGTAAAGCAGCCATGGCACGTCATAGACAGTGTAAGAGAAAATGCCATGCCAAACCTCTTAGGCAGAAGGGGGAAGTATAACAGGGCATATAGAGGTACAGTGTTATCACTCTCCAAGCCTGTGGATGTTGTTTTTTTGGTGCAGTGGAGTTGACATTTGTTTTTGCTGTGTGACTCAGGCACTTGGAGGCATGTGGCAGTGATAGTAGTTTTGATGTTGGTATCTGACCACAAAAAGTATATGGATAGTCTCAATGCACATGGAAAGTGAAGTCAATAAACAACTGGGATATAAAACAAAACATGACTGTAAAACCATATTTGGTGGATTGTACAGCTTCAAAATTAAAAAATAAGATTAAAAAAAGATGTTCAGAGAAAGAGTGACTATTTGTTGTAATTACAGGGCCTTGATGCAAATATTTTACATTTGTCTGCCTCTGTTTATCTATAGATTAGTTTCTCTTTAATGTAATATTGCACTTTTGAGCCACAGAAAATGAATATATGAGTGTTGTTTGGGTGATGATACATCTTCTAAATCTGTCTGAAACAGGGTCATAATGAGTTAACCCATAGAACAAAATAAAAGACCATGAAGGGGAATAGTACTGCTTCATGCAGCATGAAGTTTTTCTTTAAATCTAGCTAGGTTGCATCATTAGTGAATATATGGCTCTGTCAGCAAGCTGAGACAGGCAGATTAACTCAATCTTCTACTGCCTTGTAGAGAATGATTATGACAGCTGGGCCTGATAACTGGAATCAAGTTCAAGGGAAAGAGAAAGGTAGCTGACTTGGTTGTACTGAATCAGCCTCTTTCTGATGACCTTGAAGTAGATCATACTGTCAAGCTCATATCATTACCCACGATGGGACCAAATCCATCCATCTAAGCACTTTATACAATACAGGGTCACAGGGGAGTCAGAGCGTTTCCTGGCAAACCTTGGGCATAAGGCAGGATACATCCTAGATGGGACACCAGTCCATCATAGGGCATACACAGACACAAAAACACACACTGACACCAGGGTCAAATATCCCAGAAGCCATTAACCTACCCGTGTGCTTTACGATTGTGGGAGAAAAACAGACCACTCATAGGACATCCACTCAAACACAGGGAGAACATACAAACACTGTGCAGATAGCACCACATGATTTGAACCTTAGGGCCCCAACGCTGCATTGCAGCAATGCTAACCACTGTGCCACTATACAGCCCAGGACCCGTTTTACCAATTTTAGTGTTTTTTTAATGCTCTGAGTATTTTTTAACAGGATTATTAATGGCATTTGCAAGAACCACATACCATGTATGAAAAACTGGCAGGGTTCAATTATATAGCAACTGAAACTATAAGGGTGAAGTGGTTAATTTGCCATGTTCTGCTGCAGCACCAAGAATTTCATGAACATCTGTGCTTCAGGTTATGATGAAAAGGCCTGTGGCTACAAATGATTTGATTCTGCCCTCTAAATACTGATGTAACAGATTATTTTTTCTTCAAGCTAGAGTGAGTGATTAAAGTGTCCTTTTCTTTGCAGAGTCTCCTGCTCAAGTGAACTCCACCTCTCTGAGCTCTCCGAACTCTCACCGGGCAATGAACACGCCCACCCTCCATCCGTCCCTGATGGGCTCGGGGATCAGCCCATCATCGTTGGGTTCGTCAGGTCAGCTGCACTCTCCCATCAGCACTTTGAGCTCGCCTATGAATGGCCTGGGCTCCCCCTTTTCCGTCATCAGCTCCCCCATGGGCCCCCACTCCATGTCCGTCCCTTCCACCCCCGGCATGGGCTTCGGCCCCAGCGTCAGCCCCCAGGTCAGTCCTGCCATCTTGAAAATCACAAAATACCTTTTCAGTCTAATCTTTAACAAAGTCATGGTTCTGTACATAAGGGAAAGGACAACTGGGCTCCCCAGGACAAAACAAAAACATTATTTTCGTATTTTGTTTAAATTTTGTCTCTTACTTTTTCATTTCTTCTTCATAACAGTCGTCATAAAACCATCAAGTAGGTAGCTGCTTCAGCATGTCCAGGCTGCGAAAGAACAAGTAAAGGTTTATTCCATGCGGAAGAGAATAGGAAAGAGACACTGCATTTCAGCTGTGGAGCCTTCTGTGTCTCCACAGCCGGAACAAAGAGACACTTCTGTGTCTCTTTTTTGTTTGCTTTCAGAATGGAATAAACCTTTATCTGTTCCTTTGCATTATAAAAACATAGCTTGCAAAGAATACATCAGTACTAACACTTAAACAAATTAACTTCAGAATTGTCGATTTCTAATGAGAGTTACCTTGGCTTGCAGCGTTACAAAGAAACAACCAAATCTGCACTGAATATGTTTATAAATATGTATTTAAGTATGTATATAAAAGAAGAAAATACCTGTTTCATCACAGATGATCTGCTGGCTAGTGGATTAATTCCCAATACTTCAATTTGATCTCTCTTTATTTGGTGAAAGGAACTTCAGCAGAAGGTGAAATGCTTGTTAGCAGTTTGATTCTTAAAGTTCCCCACTGATATCTTTCTATCTTTGTAACCTTATAATATTAAAGGAAACATTGATGATATCTTCATAACATTTCCAGGCTTAATACATTTTAAAGTTTAAAATTTTGAAGGCCTGCACTGGATCTAAGGGCATTGTGCATCTTTTACTTATTTCCCATACAGCTACTGTAGGAAACAGTATTAAGTTGAAAAGTGGGATCTGTTATAACAGTTGTATTTTAATTTAATTTTACAGGGAGCATATGATCCAAGAGCCCATTTTATAGGCATAATTTAATGGTTTGTTAATTCAGTTACAATAAATCTTTCTCTATATTATCCTGATTTATTGATTTCAATCACTAGGTTCTAAACATTTATCTCTTGTGAAAACATTGTGAGGCTTCTTTGAGTCTGTCTGGAATGGAGCTTAGCAATGTTGAGCATTAACTACTGTTGCTTTATAAAGACCAACTGCTTCTTGTTCCTTTGTGAGTAATAAAGTGCTTTTACTGTTTGCTCATAGTCTGTCTTTGCTGATTATCCAGAGAGAGAGACATTGAAGCAACAGTCCCTGTCTGATAGTTTTTACCATCTGTCCTCGGTCTAGCAGGGAACACAGCCCAGCCAAATAGTACTATGAACTAAAACACAGAAGATATGTGAATTCTAACAATTTCATAGCCCTTTAACAGTTGCTGCTGTTGTTCCTACTTAATTTGTTGTCTCCAAACAAACTTGCTGCCATCTTGTAACATGTTTCTAGTGGGACACCAGAAACAATGTAGTATTTAAGTACTTGGCTTCACCACAGCCTTGTTCTAGAAAGGCACATCAGAGCTTGTGTGTTTAGTCTCTTGCAGGGATTCAATCTGAAATAAAAACCCAGCCTGTGTAATCGCAGGTGAGTTGTTATATAGAACATCATCATTCCCTTTATGCTGCAGCGGGAAACAAACCAAAAACAAAAATATGAGAAAGCTTACAGTATTGCTTCATTTCTTTTAATTCTCTTGTTTCCACAC